CACCATATATAGACAAGACGAAAATCCAAAATAAAACGAATTCGCCAAATCAAGAAATCTCGTATTTTCCATTAGCATTTGAATTTGTTTCTCTAGATTTTGACCTTTTCATATATAGACAGCACCGAATATACTAGACGTGATCGATTCTTGCACGATTTTTTCTCCAAAAGGATTCTTTATATGAATATATTGAAGTTTGAGCCATAAAGGGGCATCTTTAAAAAAGTGAAATTTTTCTTAGGATTCAAGATATTTTTTTCAATCGGTATACGAGGAATCTATCGAGATAGACGAAATTATATATCTTTATTTGAGTTAGTATATATTACATGACTCTTTGAATCCAGAATCCTACCTCAATTGACCGGGCAAATAATTACCCGCCAATTCAACGCCCCGCAAAGTAAGTACCTCTTTATTGTATTGGAAAAGAAAAGGATGGACGCGTTTATCGTGATGGGAGAGTTGTCGAAATGGCGAGTGCATCGCGCGGGGTGCCCACAACCCTGAACCGTATGGTACGCAGAAAGAATATATAGATAAAAAGTATACCCTACACATACGTAGCATACACAACGCAGAATACATTTCATTAAAGCTTCCTAAACTATATGTATGCTGCAATAATGTATACCTCTGCCAGCTAAACTTGTGCGGCTGAGATTTTGGAGTGCCATCGACCGGACTTGCTTGGTGCTTTACATCCTCGAGTGGGAGCTGCACTGTACAGACTCTATGATCTAATCGGATCCAACGCCAACTCCAGCAACAGAATGCATGATCTACGCGTGAGAGCTGATTGAGACTGCAAGCCTCAACCACGAAGAGGCCCGCAAAGCCGTAAAATGATACAACCAAAGCTGGATGAACTAATCGCTACTTCAATGAAACGAGAACACAACCAGGGGGGCACCTTGTGGTTGAGACTGCCGACTGTGCGCCCTGCCAAAATTCACTGATATAGGGGCCTTATCGGAATAGGGTTCTGGGGCCCATTGTACTACATCTACAGTAAGGAACCCCCCAAAAGATTATAGGTAAATATTAAGGCCCCTACAATATCTGCAGAGGCCTACTTCTCTCTGGCTCAGCCTAGTACTGGGGACTGCCGCCATCCCAAGCCCCATTCTTGCGCCCATGTGTCTGATCAAAGAGCCGCAGTTTCTTGAGTGTAGATGTCTTGTCCGCGCCTGTCGCCGAAAGATGTGCCGCCTCCAAGGCTTTGCGAAGGTCAAGCACCTGCTGACGCTCTGTTGCGCTCCGTTCCCGGGGCCGCACGAAGAGCGCAGGCAGGGTCCAGGCGCGGCCCACCACGCAGCGGCCGAGGTCTGGTTGCCCCGGCAAGAGCTCGACAGAAGCACCATCACAAAGAGTTCCACCTTCAAGGATCTCGCAATTCAGCCCCGCGTCACAGTAAAACTCTTCAAAAAGGCCTTTCTGCTTTGTAAGGCCCTCGAGATACATGCATGGAACCGAGACCCGATGTGCAAAGACTCGAATGTCTCCAAGCCGAAACTCTCGGCCCACCAGCTGTGAAAGTGGGTGCAGGCCGCGAACCACCACATTCCGGCGGCAGTTTTCTGGGCCGATCTTGAGATGGCACTTGTCTGCCAAGAGCTCCATGCCCTCGGCCGCAATTAGCGTCATCTGTCGGCCAGGCTCAGGGGTGTTGCTATAACGACCCCTGGTTATGTCCATGTTGTAACGGTCGCCGACGATGCCCTTCCCGGCCACACACTCCACTGAACCTTGCTGCTCCATGGCCCGGGATGTTCCAGGGCAGGTCCAAATCGATTCCACCACACCCAGCTGCCCCGCCTGGCGCGGCTGACTCCGGCTCCCGGAACGTCGCCCGCGCTGAGCTTTATCAGGCAGTGCTGTCTTCTTCTGGTGCACGAGGTAGGTCAGCAGCGAAATCGCCGCAGTCACAAGAGTGGGCACCCAGAATCGCGAGAGGCGAAAGAGCTCCATGGCCCAAGCGCAGTGCAAGCTCCACAAACAGCCCCACAAGGAAAAGTTACGCTCGGATCTCCATCTTTCAGAAGTACTGCACAGTGCTAGTTTGACATGGAGTCTGTAATTTGATGTCGAGAACATATATGAGACTGGCTTCGGGAAAGCTGTAACAAACTGTGACACGTGGCTCAGGAAAACAGCTGGCAAGTGGTCTGTGGCCTTGATTTCAACATAGCTAGAGTCTGACTCTCTCTTTCCCTCCCAGAGCCTCCAAAGCCCCTTAAATTAAGGAATCTACCTAAACTCATAATAGGGATCTCAAGCAATTTACCATATACCTTAAATCATAACAGGGATCCTATTATGATTTGAGGTATATTCCTTAATTAAGGGGCTTTTGGAGGCTGTGAGCTTTCCCTTGAACCCCCCATCTTTTGCTTTTTCGTAGCGACCGCCTCTTCTTGTCATCATGCCAGGAAGATACGAAGATCCTTGTACCCGAGGGCTCCATGAGCCGCCTCAGAGTTTCGTCAAGGGCTCCTTTAAGTTTTCCTTCAAGGGCTCCTTTTGGGGTTCTTTCAACTTCAAGGGTTTAGGGCATAAGGCTCCATGTGCCCGTAGAGGGTATACTTGCTTAGGCCTTCAAGGGGTTCCTGTTTAGGTAGGTACATGTACGGTCTAAGTACCTCCTACTACTACCACTACTTCTTCTACTACTACTTCTTCTCCTACTACTACTGCTGCTGCTACTACTACTACTACTACTACTACATATGTACATGGAGCCTTTTGCCCACTCGGGTCCCTTTGGATTGCTCGGCCCTGAGTTCGTCGGAAACGTGCCGAAAACCCTGATGCCACGCCCTGAATCCCAAAGCCTTAACCCTAAATCCCTAAACAATCCGAAACCCTTAAAAAACCATAAATCCTAAGTCCCTAAACCCTACTTAAAGGATCATGGGACTTACTAACTAGGGTTATAAGTAAGGTAACTATACTTATATCCCCACTTAAGGCACTTATAACCTTACTTACTAAGTCCCATGATCCTCCAAGTATACATCCTAAACTCCCAACCATAAACCTGAAGCTCCGAACATGGCCCCAGACCCTACTCTAGGGCCTTAATAGTTAGAATAGGGTTTCGGGGTATATTACACAATAACCACAGTAAGGAACAACCCTCACAATAGTATATATCGGTAATTAATGGTAATTTTTTAGCCCCATATAGTACAACTTTAAGGCTCTTCACATGGATCTGCGCTTCCTGGCCTGCGCCTGTGAGATTTGAAGGCGACTCTCCCAGGTACTAAACCCTAAACCCCCCAATGGAACGGCTTGTCCACAACTATACACGTTTTTGGCGGTTGAATGGAAGATTTACTGGCTTGGCGTTGTAAGGCATCTGTATAATAATGCAGTTGAGGGTGCTTGAAAAGGGCTGTAGTGGGCCTCCAGCGCATGGGCCTACAGGGTTTGGGGTTTACGGCTTACAGGTTCACAGTTTAGGGTTTTGGGTTTGGTAAATTCTGGAAGAACAGTCTTTGGACTTACGCTTTGGGGCCATAAAGCTTGACGCAGTTGCGGCGGTTGCTGAAATGTGAACTTGTTAAGCTTACGGCGTGTTCTTATCTGGGTGCTTCAGCGAACCCAACACTTTACTTTTTGGATGAATCATTAGGAGGTATTCCCGAACGGGGTATGGGTTTTCCGAGTTTGGCACAGCTGAACCCTCTTCTAGTTTAAGGTATATTCCTTACTTAGGGGGTATTAGGGGTATTGGGCTCTCTGGGGAAGTTCCAGATTGCAAAACCCACCATAAAACCACAGAGACCTTATCCATCGGATACTACCCAAAGGCCCCAAAGTAGTTCCTGTTAGGGGTTCGTATATAGAACCCTATACGGTAATCCCGAAAAGAAACTACTATGGGGCCTCTGGGCATCGACCACGGTAGAAGACCGAAACTCCTTGGGAGCTGGAATTTTGATTAGCCTCTGACGTCCACCCAAACAAACCGATATAAAGCCTTATAAACCGCATGGATGCTCCTTGGACTACTGCTGAATACCAAAACTCTGAACCGCGTGGCCTCTGTCACTCCTGCTCCGGCAGAGGCGGGCCTCATTGGCGCTGAACGTCGAGGCCTGGCACTGAAAGGAACCGTACGGCTACCCCTTTACCATTTTGCGGAAACACATCTCCGACGGCCTGAACATCAGAAAGCCCAAATCTACAGACTTGTCTCGATGCCGTCGTTAACAGGTCTCGCGGTCTTGCGCTAAAGCAGCGAACAGATAACAGCCAGCAGTCTTCAAACTGCAGTGCCGCTCGTGTACAAATCAGAGGCCACAGTGATAGGAGAAAGATGTTCCGCACACCGCAGTTCATCCATGTTCAGCCTTGGAACTACAGGCTTCAAATGACAAGACTGTGCAAGCTGTAGGGCATGGACATCGCCCTATCGCCGTGACCAATCGAAGAAAGAGGCCCAAAGCATTCCGCTGTGGCCACCAAACTGTCTCGCAACAAACCCAGTCCCACACACGACACTGGGCGACGAATTGAGATCGCGCTGGCCTAAAACCCCAACTGAATGGGCAAAAATGGAGCCTGAGTGGACTCCAGTGACACTTGTCCGTCCGTGTTCACTGGGCCACACTTGCATTGCCAATGGACACGACTGCTTCTGCGACACCGATTGTCTCATTGGGGCCGAACATATCTGTGGGAATGTAGTCCAGCCTGACCCATGCTGCAAAGACTATAATATAAGAGCAACTTTAGGCATTTAATTAGATATTGGCAGTCACTCCTGCGGGTTATGGCTCGGGAGTCGGGGCTGTTGCTCTCCAAGCTGCAGTGTGCCACGGCCAGCAGGGAGGAACTGAACGTCTTGTACTACGCATGTACTCGGCGCGCAGCCCGAAACCGACAACTCCAGTGTGAACTCCGCATTGCTGTCCAAGAGGAGCCTAGTTCATGGTTGGGACAGGATGTAGCATGTACATTGTCTTCCTTATTGAGTTTAAGTACCCAAAAAAAGTAAACTGTTACCCAACTATGACAAAGGAACGTGCTCGCTGCGATGGCACTGGACAGAGCTTGAGAGATGCTCGTGGTGCGTCCAGAATCCTGGGAATCCAAGAAGACCTGGGCTTTTAAGTAGCCAGTGAGAAAACAGTATAATTAAACTGTTGAAATAATGGCCCCGTTAAGTTAAGAAAAAAGTATTAAAGTATGGGAATTACTCCAAAGCCCAGAGACATCAGTGGCAATGTCCACTTGTGCACGGGCTGTGGCCACCAGAGAAAGTAAGCTCGTCCTCGCGCATACTAGCGAGGTGTTGCCAGCTGCTGCATATGCGCAAACCTATGCTGAACTTAGAACCCTAGCAAACATTATAATTTTAGCTGTTTCTTAGGGATTATAATAACCAAAAAATACTAAGTACCCCTAAGAAACAGCCAGCGATACCTTGGCCTCATCTTCGCCTGCGAGCTCGAGGTACACAAATCGACCTGTGTTGTCGAGAAGTCCTTGCTCGTTGAATTGGCCCAGCACTTTTGCATCCAGCCTCTCTACCTGAACAGATGCCGGCACCGCTTCCGCAATCTCCAAGCGCCTGAATCGTGTCAGGGTGACTGTGAGCTCCTCCGCAAGCGCAAAGCTGGGGTAGGCCCCGGAGGAGCAGATGCAGTTCAGGGGCAATGTCAAGTTAGCTGTCTGTTCTGTCTCTTCAGCCGGAGGCTGAAACCTGCGCACAGCGCTGCCAACAGAGACAGCATCTAAGACCACGTCGATTGTAGAATCCACAGGCTGGCCCAAGAAGGATCCACGGCCTGGGTTTGCAAAGAGGATGCGCCATGGAGGGCATCCTTCCTGGACCTCTGGGCAATCGAAGCGGTCCAAGCGCATCACTTCAGTGAAGCGCCGACTCATCTCTGCGGAGCTCCTGATGAATAAAGCTATTGCCTCACCCCTCACCAGAGCCCTGGCGGAAGCATTAGTGCCGGAGGCGAGAAACTCATCGAGAGCCTCCGCTGTTACGCTTGCCTGCGCGACTGCCCCGTCAGGCGTGGCGAATGCTAATGCATCAGCGGCGGCCGAGGCCACTGCATCTTCCAACGCTTGCCTGTCCGTGTCCCCGAATGCGTTACTTGTATCAGGGGTAGAAGCTGAAGCGCCTACATCACCGCTGGCCATGGCTGTTTGGATCATCGTGTAAATGCGGGCGAGCATGTCTACGCTTGCGTTGCCTGCGCTCTCATACTTCTCATACTCCCACCATGCGTCCACAGGCCTGGAACAAACCAGAGACATCTTGTCCGCCGAGAAAGCACACACCTCGCTGAGTGTCGCCGGTATGAAAAGAATTGCTGGGGAAGCCACTAGCTCAGAATAAGTTGCCAGCACGAACCGTCCACTGCTATCCTTAGTCATGAGTCCAATGAGGAACCGGCATGGAAAACCACTGACTGATCCTACACCCTTGACACAGTTCGCCTGGCGTGGCAGAGGGCATGGCATGTATCGTTCCCAGGCGCCGGCTGGTTTTCGTAGTTCACCTGCTCCGTAAAGCTGAGGATGCCAGTGATGTTCACCACACCGGTTGCGTTGGGCTCCTTTAGGTCCAGCCGACGATAGAACCTCGCGAAAGCAATTTGCTACGGGCTTTGAGCAAGGGAAAGAGGGAAACTGAAGAAGATCTCAAGAGAGACAACATGTCCACGAGTCACGAGATGTCATGGGTGCAGGCTAGAAGCAGGGTCAAGTGAACATCGAAGGTCTGGCCGACCAGGTTGGGAAACCACTGTGATGCAGAGGCGGCCCATTCATCGGAGACGCCGGCATAGCCGACTTCAACCCGGGCTTCGTTATCGAAGCTCACGTCGACTCGCAGAATTGACCCGCGGCCGGGTGGCGAGAACTCGAAACCTGCCGGTACGCAAGATCCGGGCTTGAAGTGCGACACTGTCAAAAAGCTGGTGAAGTCACCCTTATTCTGCAGGAGACCATTCACAAATTTCTCATCCTCGGCTTCAAAGATCTTCAGAGATGCATTGGATGTGGTGTTTTGCTCGACATCAGCTTCGATTCCTGCGAAAACATACGCAAGGGCCTCTACGCTTGTTGCGAAATCGCCGCTGCCATCGTGGTGCTCAGTGCATGTGAGCATCGTTTTGCTGCTCCACACACAGAGCATTCGCTGGTCGCTGAAGTTAGCCGCTCCGTTGCTAAGGCCTGACAGGATCGCCTCAGTAAACCTTTCATCCGTCGCTGGACTGAAGGAGAGCACCCCCGTGATCTGCTCGACCGTCGCTGAAGTTCCACCCACGTAGGAGTAGAGGTGAGCATCGTAGCTTTGGTCCGTCAGGATGGGGTAGCCGCATTCGATGCTTTGGCTGTAGTAGCCTCAGGGTACCCTACCCAGAGGCCACATAGCAGTTCCTTCTTGGGATTACCATATAGGATTCTATATACGAACCCCAAAAAAGAACTACTATGGGGCCTCTGGGTAAGCCCTAAACCCCAAACGTCCCCACGTCTGTAAAAAGGAACCTGTGACTCACATCCCTTTGAGAAAGGCCCCACCTGCATTATGGCGAGTCTTGCCATACCCCCCATACCGCCAGTGTTGGCGATGCCAAAATGGGCGCCAGGGAGCCTCTTCATGTGACTTCGCCGCGTGAGGGACCTGAAGTGTGTCTCGAAGTCCATACCTGAGTTGTCCTTTAAGCCCTTTGAAAATTATTTACTACTATGATTCTCTACAAAATAGTAGGGGAAATTGAAAAAGATCCCAAAGGACAACCCAGATACTGCAAGAGCAAGTTGGTGTCCTCTTCCAGAAGGGCCCCAACAGCCTTGGCCCGTCAAGTGCCTGCATGCCTCTACCAAAAAAACACTGAGACGGTTGATGATATGAATCCTGCATTACCTAAAGGACCCTAAACTTTGGGAATTATGGTATATTCCTTATTTTGGGTCATGCAGGATTTATATCATCAACCGGAGCAGATTGAAATCAAGCCCGGGTGCGGCGACAACAATAGTCACCAACAGAAAAGTCGCCGGGGTTGGACACAAAGGCATGCTGCGAAGTGTGAAGGCCAAGAATCCTGTTTGAAACTGTTTCCTTGACCCAAAATTGCTTCGTCATTTGCGTGCATCCCAAGCACTCGGCTCGCCCTGCGACCAGAATACCGTACTCATACTCACTTTGGAGACTGCTCAGAGGATCATGGACTTAGTAACTAGGGTTTTAAGTAAGGTAGCTATACCTATAACCCCAATTACGGTACTTATAACCTTTCTTACTAAGTCCCATGATCCTTTAAGTACTCATGGCCGTAAAACTTGCCTCAGCCGTCATCGCCCCGGAAGGATCGCGAAGGCCTGTTCAGGCTGGGGAATAGAGGGGAGACTGGTGCTACAGAGGCCTTAACCATTGGGGATTAGGGTTTAGGGTTTAGGAGACTGGGCCTTAGGAGTCTATATAGGTGGCTGTAAAAATTATCGTCCCTTCTTGGGTACCCTAAATATTAGGTGCCGTATTATACAAATGACCCATAAGGGACCCTAGTTTTGACAACCACCCATATACATACTATACACATAAAGGAAGAAAATGGTTACATGAAGGCAGCCGAATGACAATATTGTTGGCAATTATTCAGAATCTAAACCCTAAACCCTAATTCAGGCTTCGATGGTAAGCTGTTCCCTTTAGTATGCTCTGCGACTTCTATGACTATGGCCGATACAAGGGACCCATCTCAACAATAGCCACCCCAACAGATGAACCGAAGGATCACCTCATATACTAGACTATGTATACTCTGCTGTAACATACTACACTAAACCCTAAACAAACTCTAATCCCTGAGCCGTACATTAGCATGATACTTCAATATACTGTACTGCTGAAGACTACATCCACTTCCTGCGGGCTGCCTGGACTTTGCAAGGGGCCTTCCACTTCCGAAACGAAACCGAGAGCCCTTCCAAGAAGCTGATCCACCGAGGGAAACTCTAAACCCTAAAGCTGAATGGAGGCCTACTACTCAAAGCGGAAAGGGAGGGCCCTACCCTATAATGGGCTACATAATGGGTATATAATAGCTATATGGTATATACCTAGGGGTCCTTATAAAGGGTCCCTCCTTTTAGCCTTGGATACAAATATATCGGGAGCGTAGGTCTTCGTTTTTGCGTTTTGTGTCGGGACAACATACAGGACAGGAAGCTGCCTCGTGGAAGAGCTGCATCATGTGGTGCACTGCTTCATGAGGCTCCATGTGCCTATATAGCATACTTCTAGGCCTTCAAGTTCCTTAAAGTACTTATAATCAGATAGGAATCCCATGGAGGTCTAAGTATACACGATATAGGTACAAGGAGGTAGGGCTACAGGACGGTGCACAGGAGTCTCGAAGCTTTTTGCGGAGCGCATCGTATCGTATATGTGGTAAAACCTATCACCTAGGGGCCCTCTAAGGAGAGATCTTGCTAGTGTTGCGACTATGAAACGCATGTGTGTGCATTTTCGACATGACTTTATAACCAGTCGTATTGTTATGCATGATTATTCTTATCACATACAGATACTTCCTCGTATTACTATGCTTATAAGAAGGACCGTGCTCGAGCTCCAACAGGCCGGAAATGGCGGGTGCATACGGCGTCCCTTTAAAGACTGTGGGGTTTAAGGGTTTAGGGTTTAGGAGCTGTTGCTGTCTCCACCTTTCTCCTGGCTGCGCTGGGTTGAAGAAAAGGAACCCCCGTGCGTAAAGTCATCTCGCGCTGCTACGCAGCCGCACACGACTCGCGTAGACACGCATACGCATACAAGCTCGTTAGCCGCACGCCTGAGGACTTCCGCAACAACACGTCAGAAGCTTGCAAGGATCATGCATGCCTTGGCAGCAATGCAACCATGACTTGCTGGGAGGCCAAGATAACCCCATAGAAAGATGAAGGTGATCATGCAGCACAAGCATAGAAGCATGTTGTGGCATTCAACAGAGGCATCGATGCTGTGTCCAACATGAGGAGACAGAAGTTATGCTCTGATCGATTCAGGGCAGTACCAGGCGTTGCATACTCGGGCACAAGAGCAGGTTACAAGGATTCTGAAGGTATCATCTGCCATGAAACCGTTCAAAACGACTTTGCTCCTAGCCGCTGGGGGTAATTCACCTGGTGAGTACGGTGCTTCGCGTCCCTGGCAAGCATAAACACTTGAAACTTCCTTCTTTTGCTTTTGCACTGATCTTCCACCCTGCGTCCTCATGCCAGGAAGGTACGAAGATCCCTTTACCCCAAGGCTCCATGTACCTATATAGCGTATACTTGCCTTGAAAGGGTTCGTATCAAGGAAAAAAGGCCCGAGTGCATCGGGCTATGGAATGCTCACTTGGACGGAAACCTACCGAACATCAAAATGCCAAACCCTAAATCCCAGACCATATACCCCTGAACCCTATAAATCCTGAACTCCCAACCCTAGGAGTTGGGATTCGGGGGACTTGAGGATATAGACCCTTTCAATAAAGTGCCTTAAGAGAGCCAGAAGTTTACGGGGTCTCCCTAATACTACCTAGGAAACGCTGAGACGCAAAGCTCCTAACATGGTCCAAAAATCGTGTAGTGAAGCTGCTAGCATGGCCCAAAAACCAAAACTCAGAGGAAACTTAGAACCCAGAACCCCTCCGAAAGGGTTATGGCCCTTAAAAAGTGGGTATTTGGGGGTATATTCGAGGATAGTGGGGGGTCTAAAGCCTTCAGCTTTGAACATGGATCTTCGTTTCCCTGTCTGTGCCTGTGAGACGGCAAGGTGATGCTTCGCAGGCCCAGAGCCTCCAAAATCCCTTAATTAAGGAATATACCTTAAACCATAAATAAGATCCCTAATAGAGTTCAGGGTATACCTTAAACTATAATAGGGATCCTATTATGATTTAAGGTATATTCCTTAATTAAGGGGTTTTGGAGGGCTTTCTTCCCAGAGGTTGGCCCGGAACCCCGGGGCCCGAGGGCCTTAAGTGCACCTGCAGCCGACAAGACCTACCTGTTTAGGGTTCCTTATTATGGGTTTAGGGTTTAGGGTTTAGGGTTCCTTATTATGGGTTTAGGGTTTAGGGTTTAGGGTTTAGGGTTCCTTATTATGGGTTTAGGGTTTAGGGTTTAGGGTTCCTTATTATGGTTTCTTTGCATAGTTCCTTAAAAAGGTAGGTCTTTTGGGCCACAGGTAGGGTTTAGGACTCCGTGTGGATCATGGCCTTCTTTAGGTAGGCGGCCATTATTCTACCTACTCTTTTGGGGGTCTAGGAGAAGCCTAAATCTTACTACCCCAATAAGCCACAGAATTAAAGGCTAAACTTTCCGAATCCTACTAAACTACAAGAACCGAAAAAGTCAAAAGGTTGGGTATTGGGGATCTAAGACAATTTCCGCTCCCTGAACCTCGGACGTCCGACGGCTTAGCATTTGGGGTTTGAGGGTGTTACTTGGAGGATCATGCGACTTAGTAACTAGGGGTATAAGGAAGGTAATTAAACTTATAATTACTTTTAACCCAATTCAGGTACTTATAACCTTACTTACTAAGTCCCATGATCCTCCAAGTAGTTTTAAGATGATAAGATGTAGGGACGACCGGATATACAAAGCGTATTAATAATAGGAATAGGCTTTCTTAAAGAAGGGTTCCCTTAAAGAGTTACCTGAAAAGGTTTCTTTAAATCTAGGGGCTACAAGCCCGCGATCTTACACAGCTAGTGTACAGGCCTTAGTGAATAGAGTCAGGTTCGGGGGTAAAGTATAATTACCCTAAACCCCTAAACCCTATACTAAGGACTCCTGAAAACCCTATTCTAACTATCAAGGCCCCTACGTTAATACAGGAGCCGCGAGGCACGACCGCCTTCTCCGCGACGCCTCGTTGTCTTGGGGATGGATACCCTAGCCCTAAACAGGGGTTTAGGGTTTCCGGGTTAGGGTTTAGGGTTTAGGGGTTAGGGTTTAGGGTTTAGGGTTTAGGGCAGGCTAACCTTTTCGACACTATCTGGAGGGTCATACCCTACCCCTGTTTTAGGGTATCTAGTCTTATGGTTAGGATCTCCTATATAGAAAAGCAGGTACCTTAAAAAGGGGTAGGGTATGAGCCTATAGGTAATGTATCCTGTTATGTCATCGTATCTTATATTGAATTTCATTCGGTTGGATTTTTCTGATTTTGTTACGCCGTAGTAGAACATGAACTAGAAGGACATGTAGTGGGCAGGCACATGGACGTTCATTAATCGCAGTAAGCCCTGCAAATCCTTGCAAGCCCCTTAACCCTGAACCCTAAACCCCTTAACCCCTGAACCCTACACCCCTAAACCCCTTAACCCTAAACCCCTAAACCCTAAACCCCTTGACCCCTGAACCCTTGAAGTAAGGGCTGCGAAAGGGAAGGCCTGGAAGTGAGACCGCAAATGCTCCGGAGCTGTCATCTTCCAGCAGAGCGCAGCAGACCCCTTAAGCTCTCAACACCGAAGGTTCATAGTTAGGGTTTTTGCCCTTAACCGGAACATTTGTTGATGAGATTTTGTGCAAGGTCAGTTGTAAGGTTTAGGAGGATTCCGGGATCCCGGGATCAACCGCACCTCTGTAATTTTCTCTGCCTCTGCCTATTTATGGTGTGAAGTTTTGAGTCTCCAAGGCTCATGCCTACATGCTTTAAATGCTACTTGCATTTGTGTTGCTGGGCTCTTGTTAAGGGATTTAGTTGAAGTTACCAGAATAGCGATCTATAGTGAATAATCAAGTTTCCGTATTATGTAACTTAAATTAAGTCCCTTAGCAAGAACCCAGGTTTGGGTTCAAGGTGTTTGAAGGCTTTCTGCAGATGCCATTTGGGGATTCGATTCGGAAAGACAGTAAAGATGCGACATAACAGTATCTGTGGGGTGGTCTATGAACTGGAGGCGGGGATCTATGCTGGACCATATGAACCCCTAAACCCCTATACCCTCAGCCTCATAGAATCTTAGAACCTTTCTAGAAGTCTGTAAAGGTTTAAACGAACAGCTTCGTTGTTGCCTTCG